TATATATATATATATATATACAGTATATATATATGTAGCTGAAGTGGCTGATATAAGCAAATCCTACCAATGGCTGGAGAGGGCTGGACTGAAGGACAGCACGGAGGCACTCATCATGGCGGCACAAGAACAGGCCTTGAGCACCAGAGCAATAGAGGCCCAGATCTACCATACCAGGCAAGATCCCAGGTGCAGGCTGTGCAAAGAGGGCCCTGAAACAGTCAAACACCTAACAGCAGGATGTAAGTTGCTGGCAGGAAAAGCATACATGGAACGCCATAACCAAGTAGCTGGTATAGTGTACAGGAACACCTGTGCAGATTATGGACTGGAAACCCTGAGGTCAAAATGGGAAGCACCTCCCAAGGTGATAGAGAATGACCGAGCCAAGATTCTGTGGGACTTCCAGATACAGACTGACAAAATGGTAATGGCCAATCAACCCAAGCGATACCAACATCAGAAAGAGGGAACACAAGAAACTAGAGAAGTACCAAGGGCTCAAAGAGGAGATAGAGAAAGCCTGGAAGGTGAAGGCAACAGTGGTGTCTGTGGTCATCGGGGCACTCGGGGCAGTAACCCCCACACTGGAGAAGTGGCTCCAACAGATCTCACATCAGACATCTCACTCCAGAAGAGTGCAGTCCTAGGAACAGCAAGGATACTGCGCAGGACCCTCAAGCTCCCAGGCCTCTGGTAGAGGACCCGAGCTTGAAGAGACACAATACCGCCCAGGGTGGGTGAGAGAAGACCATGGGTCCCAGAGTGAGAGCCACTGTTGAGAACCACTGCTCTAAGAGGAAATATTAAGTTCTTTTATCTGCATTTCAGTGAGTTTCTTTATAAGCTGAAACATTAACATTTACATATTTCTACACTTTCTACACTCATTGAAAGTTAGGTTGGATTAGCATTCTCTAAAACGCCTTTAGTCTGAGCTCAGCTGTAAAGTTCCCATCACTGACAGTCTGCAATAGTAGGCTGGACTTTCAGTTGAATTTAGAATGTGTCCATGGTGTCCTCTCTGCAAATGTCAACAAGGATTGACTCCACCCCCCTTAAAAAAACCCAGCGTTTGCAGACATGATAAACAGCTCGAAGCTTCATCATTTTACAAGCTGTCCTCCTCTACCTGTCCTCCCATCTCAAGCAAATTGTTGCAGCAAGACAGGGGCTCGGGGAGATTGAACTTGACCATTTTTCTTCTCTGTCCTTTTTTCCCAAATTTCCAACGAGCACCCTGTGCAAGTGCAATTGCATCCTCATGCAGAACCTTTTGATGGGTCAGCAATCCTTGTGATCACTATCATCACAGGGAGGATAAATCAGTCCCACCCAGCAGATAACAACACGTATGGCCGCACTAAAACTGTGTCCCTGGTTGATTCGAATAAATGCCAGCTTAATTAATTAGCATTATTATTTTTTACGAGAAGTGAGGGCCTTAAGTAAAGGCTGAGTGTGCATACAAAAAGGCAGATGAAATAGAAGAAAGAGAGGCTGTTAGGTTTATAACACGCCTGTGCTTTGTGATGATAGCAAAGGCTTCTTATAGCGCCTCTCACACCGGAGCCTCTCTGTGGACCGTAATCACCACATTTGCTGGGTGCAGAGACTCCGAGAAACAGTTAACGACCCTGTAAACAAGCCTTGCTAGCACATTGCTAAATGTCAAGAGACAGAGGAGGAAAACAAGAGTGCCAAAGTGTGAAAGAGCTCTGCTGTGTGCAGCGGGAGACTAGATACGATCATTTCCACATTCTGGTGAGCAGACAGTTATAGGCAGGAAGGAGTCCATTCAATACATCAGTTACCGAGGTCAAGGCTTTGGGTCGTTTATGTGCGTACACACAGATATGTATTGATAACTGAATCAATTTTTTTAATTTTCCTTCCCACGGGCCACAGGGACACCATCCAATAAAATGCAAGCAATGAAAGTGTTCAATCAGCAGCTATAGGTTTAACGAGGGGGGTCAAAAGGCTCCGCACATATGTATTATAACATTTGACATTTATTTGCATTGGATTAGAGGGTTAAGGAAGGAAATATGAGAATTCTCGACAAGACCATTAACCCTGCCTGTCGTATTTAAATGACTGTGAGTGAGAAGCGAGTTTCGAATTGATGATTGAAGGCGTCACAGACACATATGTGGATTGCTTTGATGAAACGAAAGCAGGTCAAAGATTACGTTGGACTAAGAGCAAAATGCAAAGCGAAATTAAACCAGAAAGCCCCATAGATCTGTCACTGTTTAAGAACATCCTATGATTATTCAGTATTAGCTTGAATTCACTAACAGAAAGACTTACATTTGGCAGAATTTATGTAAAATGTGCCCTATAAGAGAGTAGAGATTGCAAGTAGTAAATAATGGCACATATGAGCAAATGATGTCTTGCTTATTAGCATGTATATTCATGGCATTTTAGCTCTTAATTTGTAATTATACAGCACTTCTCAACACTTCATTATGTTGAACAACATAATTTCTATAGGTGTTGTAAATGCTGTTTTAGTGACCTTGATCTTGTACTTTAAATATGCTGCAAAGTTTGCTTTGAATTTTCCCATTATTCACCACCATTTCGACTCATGGAGTACCTCAGAGCTCTGATCTAGGCCCCTTTGTAATTAGTGTAGTTGGATGTTTTCATCTCTGTCTATTTGGGGGGTCCCTCTTGTAATTAAAAAGTAATCTAGCACATGTTCTTAAAGTCCGTTTGTTTTTTAAAGTCAATATTTGATTTGTTGCCTCACTCGTTCAGCGGCATTCATTTCTGTACTTCAGGGCATGTGTTTAAGTTTGACAAAAAATATGTTGATCAACATTATTTCTATAGGTGTTGTGAACGCTGTTTTGGTGACCTCAGTTATGTACTTTAAGCAGTTAAGTTTGCTTTGAATTTGAATTTTGCTTTTGAATTATTTGCCACCATTCTGACTTGTGGAGTACCTCAGGGCTCTAAACTAGACCCCTTTGTGATTAGTGCATTTGTTTGTTTTTTTGTTAGTTTTTCTCTGTTGATTTATGGGGTTTCTCTCATAATTTAAAAGTAACCCAGCATATGTTCTTTCAGTCCATTTGCTTTTCAGAGTCAATATTTAATTGATTGCCTCACCCATTTAGCGGCACTCGTTTCTGTACTTCAGAGCATGTGTTTAAGTTTGCTGAAAATTATGTTGATCAACATAATTTCTATAGGTGTTGTGAATGTTATTTTAGTGACCTCACTCTTGCACTTCAAGCAGTTAAGTTTGCTTTGAATTTTCCCATTATTTGCCACCATTTTTAACTCGTGTAGTACCTCAGGGCTCTAAGCTAGGCACTTTGTGATTAGTGTTTTCTTGTTTTTGTTTTTGTTTTGTTTTTTTCTCTGTCTATTTGGGGGTTCTCTCTCATAATTAAAAAGTAATCCAGCACATGTTCTTACGGTCCATTTGCTTTTCAAAGTCAATATTTGTTCTATTGTCTCACCCATTTAGCGGCACTTGTTTCTGTGCTCCAGGGCATGTGTTTAAGTTTGCTGAAAATTATATTAATCAACATAATTTCTAGAGGTGTTGTAAACATTGTTTTAGTGACCTCACGCTTGCACTTTAAGCAGTTAAGTTTGCTTTGAATTTTTCCATTATTCACCATTATTCTGACTTGTGGAGTACCTCAGGGCTCTAATCTAGGCCCCTTTATCAGTTTTTTATCAGTGTAGTTGTTGGTTTGTTTGTTTTTTAGTTTTTCTCTGTTGATTTATGAGGGTCTCATAATTTAAAAGTTATCTAGCACGTTCTTTCTGTCCATTTGCTTTTCAAAGTCAGTATTTGATTTATTGCCTCACCCATTTAGCAGCACTCATTTCCGTACTTCCTGGCCTGTGTTTCTTAAGTTTGCTAAAACTAATTTTGACTCTGTTTTATTACAGTACCATTGATATCGCAACTTTATAATTGAGGGAAAAATTTCTGTTGTGAAGAATAACTTCAATCATCATTTTGTCTATAGATGGAAAAACTGCTTAAATTGAAGCATTCAAAGTCAGTCATGGACTGAGATGAAATTAATCTTTTCTCAGTCAAACATATTATTTGAGTCTATTAAGAAAATAAAAGTCCCTTATTTCAAGACGGCTGAAAATATTGGATCTTTTTCTCTTCGTTTTAATTGCAGAAGTTGTAAAAGAAAGTCATTGAGTTGAAAACACACAATAAGCCATGTGTGAAAATGTTCCAATCAGAATGACAGCATTATCTGCTCAGGCGGGGAATGGAGAACTGTTGCCGTCTGAAGGAGATGTAAAGTTTCCACGAGGCTTCACCACACGAATGAAATGTTTTATTAATTGACTTGCTCGATTTCCCTTTCGTCCTCTTCCCACATTAGCATCAATTACTTTTTCGTGCGTGCGAGTCATTGTGTAGAAATGGCCTCCTCTGGCTGCACGCTGCACATTAAATACATCAACATAAAGTGTGCCGCGCACAAACGCGCATGCTTCATCGTCCAATCAATGGAGCTTAAATCATTTGTCCGGTTTTCTCCTCCAGCCTGTGGATTTTCTCACCTAAATCACACTTAACTCTGGCTGTTTTTGTGTTGATTTGGGATGTTCGCAGTGTGAGGCAGAGGAAGCACTCAGAGCTGTTGCACTGAAGGCAGATGAAGTTCTTGGGGGTCATTAATTAACTCATCCTGAGCCTTTATTAGCTCCTTAATGGATCTGGTTAGAGCATATCAGGGCTTTGATTACCTCCCGTTGGCTTGTGTGAGCGAGTGAGCGGAGGAGCTTTGCGAGTGTGTGTCTTTCGCACATGTGTGTCTTCGCATGTGCATGTGGGCGTGAATTCATGCACCTCTAGAGATCTCTCTCTAAAAGGGCTGAGGGGAGAGTGGAAGTTGGGTGAATAAAGGTGAACTTGTTATTCAGGCTTTCCTCCCACTAGTTCACCATTGGCCTGACCTCTTTCTGTACTGTGCAGCATGCTACGATACAGTCTGTGCTCGCTCGTATCTCAGAGGGGATGACTGAAAAGGTGAACTGCCTTTTTTACTCGAATAAAGAGCTCAAGAAGGTTCTGATGTGTTCTGCTTTGTTGACCACTGCTTAAAATAGACAGCCCTTTTTCGTGCACTTTTGGTGCATCTAGCTCTCTGCACTAATATTGATTGGCATTTCAAATATAAGACCACGATCCAGCCATGGAGTAGTGCATGTGTTCATGTTCCTATGCACTGAAAGTGAGCCTCCAGTCCTCTTAATTGAGAGACAGAGGAGTCCTCTGCCCTATGTGCTCCTTTTCCTCCATCACACGTAGAGTCTTCGACTAAACGGCTCCGACTCAGCAGCATTCCCCCGATATCAAACACATGTCATCCTCCCCGCAGGTTCTCTCCGCAGTCTTATCCTCAGTTCCCCCACGTCTCTGCACACTTTTAACCCCTGAGGCTTTTTGATGCTGCACGCTAACCGAAAAGCTACTGCAGAGGGGTGCAGGATTGATATGGAGGGGAGTCTTGGAAACCGCAGGAGAGATGAGAGGGGACCAGATGATTTATTAAGAGTAGGCATTGTAGAGGAGCTTAGTCGGCTCTTAGTGCACACGTGTATGGAGGCTTCCCATGAAGGTTAACATGGAAATGGATGCATACATACCGGCTAACGCCTAATCTCATACTAAGGGGTTAAAGGAAGCGAATGAGGCTTGTTTGATGGATGTTAATAAGTCTTTGGTGCATCTTTGAGCCCTTCAGCAAAACTGCATTCAATTTGGTTTTGACTCTGTAATGGTAGTCACACCATGAGCTATGCATACATATTGTAAATAGAATAGTCAAAAATATTCAAGAGGGTGTGTATAGTTAGCATTTAAACCATGTAAAGTAAAATAATTTTTGGTTGGTGAAATTCTAGATACGATAGTTTCGTCAGTTTGCAATAATTAAATCCAGTTTTTCTTCATCAAAAGAGGCGCAAAGACAAAACATTAAAAACATCATCAAATCCCGAAACCAATTGCGGTCGCTGTTTTGCGTCAACTCTCCATGGAGATATCTTACCAAATTTCATGCAATACCAATGATTATGAGTCAGGGACCAGGAAAAACCGAGTGTGACTTTCTTAACCTTGGGGGACCCTGTAGTGTAAGTCACTGAATGGATTCAAAATCACTTTAAACACATATGCAGTACAGGTTAAAACAGTGTTATGCAAAGAAAGTCATCTACATATATATGATATGAAGGGTACAATTGTGACGTTCTTTTTGGAAGTCATCCATACAGCATTTTCCAGAGCAGCCCCACCTGTTATCAGCACATAGTTCAAAAACAAGCATCTGTAAAGGTATGGGGATGCACAAGAGCCCATCCCGTGGGTGGCTTGCACATCTGGGAGTACACAATTAATGCTTAACAACATGTGCGGGTTTCAGAGCAACATAAGCTGCATTTGGACTATGCTCTTTTTAGGGCAGGCCTTGTTTATTTCAGCTTGACAAGGCCAGACCACATTCTGGATGGTAGAGAAATACCATAAAAACTTGTTTCAAAAACCCTCCACACAGAATCATAGCTTATCTGAATTTCAAGTTGTATTTACTGTATGCAGACATCAAATAAATCCCTGTTTGCATGCATGTATGAGCTGCTTTTCCTTACATTCTCGATTTTTAAAGACAGCTGTTTGAATCCAAGGTGACATCTGCTCGGTCCCTCTCCTCTTCTGCAGCTCCCATTACCTCACTTGTGGTATTTGCAGCTCGTCAGGTGGCTACTTGTGCGATGCAGATCCGGTAATTGGCAGCAAGGCCCGAGTGCCTATTAAGACCCCAAGTGCTTGCCCAGGATCTTTCACAAGACACTGGAACACACTCGGCTAATGGCATGCTGTTGCTCATGCATATCATAGAAATACAAGTTACACTGTAAAATAGACGGAGTCAGTTTGGTAAATATCTTTGAGTAAATGCAGTGAACTGAATCCATTGAATCCACCCCAGCTTTTCCCTTTTTTTTTTTACTGTTTTACGGGTGTCTTTGCTGATGCTCTCCCCGCCACAGCCCACTGAGCAATAGTTGGCTATTAGACGTCTAGTATTTTTTTTTAATAGTCTAGATTCTGTATATTTTTAGATGGAATTTAAACGTTGCACTTTAACCCATTATTCGGTAATTATTTATTTAAAAAAGCAACTGTGAGTTGCATAACTGATCTCCAAGTACTTCACGAAAATAGTTATGATAGCCGTTGAGTAATATACAGTGCAGTATAGATGAAGCACCGATTTAGATTTAGTCTAAACTTTGTCTAAATTTAGATGTCTAAAAAACTTGACGCCTGATTTTAGACCAGTCGTCTAGGCTCCATTTAGACGTCTATTAGACCTCTTTTAGACAAAAAAATGCTCAGTGGGAGGCTTTGTTATAGGAGTGGGCAAGTATATAATCATGATTTATGATCATGATAAATTTCAGTTCAATCACGGTGATCAGCTGTGAGCATATTTACTCGATCAATGGCGGAAATGTGCGTGACAATAGCCAATCAGAGTCGAGCTTTTCCTGCTCACTACTGTAAGTTGCTGGATAAGTAAACAGAATGAACGAACGTGGAGCTAAACATGGAGCTGAGGGCAGCAAATATGTCAGCCATGACTTTGAGTCATCCTCCGAAGATGCCCTTGTTAAGAAGAAAAGTTACTCAACATCAATTGTATGGCAGTAGTGCGGGTATCTCCGAAGTGACGTCAAGCATCTAAGCCGATGCGCAAGGTATGTCGGCGGTCGGTGCCCTCAAAAACCAGCAACACAACAGATCTTTTTAATCATTTGAAGAAGTACTTCCCGAGTGATTATGCGGAAAGCATGAAAATGTGAGCACCGCAAGTAGCATTAGCAGTTTAGCCACAACTAGCGGCGAAGCCACCAGACCAAAGCAGCGATCAATCATATCATCTACGTTTACATCATCTAATGTTTACAATATAAGGCATCTTCATTATCCCTGAGGGGGGCGTTTGTTTATTTCGGGTCTTGCATAACTCCAAAAAAACACTCAGGACTGTAAACTAGTTCACTGTGTTATTTAATATTAATCTACATTTATTGTTCTGTTGAGTAAAATTTGTTTATCTTATTCAATTTGATTTGTTATTTAATTGTATGTCAATAAAATGTTGAACTAATCTCTAGTTTCTTTAGTTTTTAATACAGATGTTTTAAAACTGGCAGTTTAAAAAAAAAAAGTGTTAATAATTGAGATCAGACGATATGACAAAATATATATATATACAATATATATTTTTTTTGCCAAATCACCCAGTCCTACTTTATTATTCCATGGGCGCAGAATAGATGCACCACTAAATTCAACTTTTGCATGCATTTACTCCATTCTTCCAGTCCTGGCTGAGTTAGAATTGTCCATCCGTGCAGATGTCTAACAAAATATGACACCACAATGAGAAAAAACTACAAAAGTTTTTCGTGAAAGGGCTCACTGACCTTGCATGACTCTTTGTCTCCTCACCTGTCTGGTAGATTTCTTACATTTCCAACCTTTATAGGTCACCTCTCTCTCTGTGTTATCAACCACCTGTCACTCCAGGTGCTCATCATTACCATGCCAGTGTGATACAACTCCATGTGTTGACCTCAGTCCCCTCTCGGATTTATTATTCCTGCTTTTCATCGTAATGACCTTGAGCTTTTTAAGTTTTTGTGTCGTATTCATCAGCCATCTGAGCGCCCTCTTTTTTTTCTATCTCCCTCACCTCTCTCTCTCTCTCTCTAAAACACACAATGCAATTGGGCTTGACAACAAAACCTTTTCATCTGCCACATGTGTAACTACGAATAGTGTGAAGTCAAAGCACAGCCACGTGTAAATGTCAAAGTCAAACTGCTCCATTATAGCGAGATAACGATCCCGACCTCGGTGGAACAAAGAGCAGTTTATTTCAGCAGCTTTCAGCTCAACATCCTGGTTAAAAAAAAATGAAGTTTTTTTTATACATAAGTTCAAATAATACCTGAAAAATTAAACTTCAATAAGCAGTATTAAACAGAAATCCTTTACAGAGATAATTATTTCTATTCAAAACTCTTTCTTTGGTGACCTTTCCTCACCAGGGGAATGACACGCCGCTTTGCTCTCTCTACAAAGTTTATCTTCCTATCAAGAGAGCATTTCCATTTAATTCCACTTCGTTCCCACTCTAACCTTTGATACAGTGGTTCAGTATGCAAATGATCATCCTCATATTGTTAGTGAGGTGAATTAGCATTTGCATTTCTTTTTTTTTTTTTTTTGCCGTATTATCTCACTTTGGGTTTACATAAACGTTCATTGTCAGTGTGGCGGCGGCAGCTCTCTGAATTATTCATGAGGCCGTTCCCTGGGCTTGAATCCGAGAACTTCAGATCAGCATATTTAAGATATTTGCCCATTTTTTTCTTGGCGCATTTGGCATTAATATGTATCCCTCGTCTGAAACTGTGATAGTAACACCTTTTGGCTGCGGTGAGCTCGTACTCTCTCTTAACACAACAGAGGAAAAATGTGCAAAATACATGATAAACTTGCATGTATTTGTCGAAAGCCATACTTTACACTATGTATCTCTGTGGCGTGACAGGGAGTATATGGCATACTGCTGCGCTGGATCAGGGAACCTGCTGTTAGAAATATGTGTTCCAATGTATATTTTTTTGCTCTTACAGCCATGATTTATTTTCTTATCTTTCCGCACAGTTGAGCACAATAACAACTGCCTGAGTTGAATGAATGAAAGCCCAATGCAAAAACACAGCTGAAGACTCCTTGATCAAACTCAAACCCTGTACATCTTAAAAAATGACATGGCGTATTGATAATATAGTTGAAAAGTCCATGACGGAGGGGTGAAGGAGAAGCTTAATACTGAATTAAATCTGGGAAAATGCAGAAATGATGCAATAAAGATGGCAGATCCTCTTCTTTTTCATGCAGCGGAGCATTTGGCTCATTTAGCATCAAAAAAATCAACTCTTAATTCAGTATTATTAGGGTGAGAATACGTACTCTTTTTAGGGGGCTGTTCGGGCTTGTCCGGTTTTGTTCGGGGAAGTTTACAAAATCCTTTCAATTTCTGCGGTTTTGTACTTAAGTTTCGATTTTTGTGTCATATGGACTTGCTGAGTGAGAAGCGCGTGAAAGACACTCGATCTGACCCGAAAAACTCTTAAAATTAACTTTGTGTGACTCCGCCCCAGCGTAGTCATGTCCTCTTTTTGGGAAGTCAGAATATGGTCACTCAAGTATTACGGTCCTTTCACAATGGGAGCATTTTTTCCGTGCGATTATTTTGGACGTCAATATTTTTTTTCAAACCCGTATCCTGTCAATACAAGCGTTCACATCAGCGACGTTTTCCCGTCCTGCGATACTGCGGCATATATTTTTTCGTATCACGGTCAATTTGTCTAAATTTTCGCATACTGTGTGTCCACCTCTGACCAATCAGATTGCGTGTTGTTGTGACGTCTGATTCACCGGTATATCCAACATGGCCGACCGGCTGATTGTTTACACGTCGGAGAACAGAGTGCTTTTTGATAAAAAACACAAACATATGAAGACCTGAAGGACAACTTGTGGAGAGTCATAGCGTCGGATTTCTCATATGACGATGGTTTGTGTGCTTTAACAGTTTGCTAAACGTCTTTGTTTAAACTTTCATCTGTGCTAAGTAACTTTAGCTCGTAAGCTAACCTGTTCAGATACAACATACCATATGTATTTTCACTGTCTCAAACTCAATCTAGTTACTGTCACAACACCATTAGCTCTCGGTTGTTACCTTACGTTTATGAATTATAGTTTAATGTGCTTATCTGGTACTGGCCCCGACTCAGTACATGCTATCATGACAGACAGACATCTCAACACTAGTGTCGGTAAGTTGCAAAATCGCATTGCGCTTGATGTGTATAGTCAGGCGCGTCAAAATTCGCCTCCGAATATTTCGTAATTTCGCATTGTATATTTGCGTTGTTACCGGAGTGAAAGGACCTTTATTCCAAAATTTTATCATTTAGACATTCCCTTTGAAGCTCCAGTGAGCGGCTTTTACTTTTTAACATCCACTGTAGCACCAAAATGGGAAAAGTCATCACAAACCCAGCTTCGTTTCCTCCCTTGGCTTGGTGTTAAATCACTTGATTATGTACATGCTAAGAAATACATGTACGTTTTATAAGCTATTGTGCAGTCAATGATGGCAAACCTTGAGAAAAGTCTGTAAAATCAGCTTGATTAGGGACCGAGGGCTGAGGAGTTCTGCAGTAAGCCAGGGTCAAGCAATTACAGTATATCTCATGAACTGATGTTTTAAAGAATTCATATGAAGGTAAAAAAAAGACTTCTCTGGAAGCGTGTTGTTCTGCTCATGGATACTCTTCTGCCAGCTTTTATCATGTTTATGCCCCTGGTGTCTTTAAATACAGGTTTGAGACTAATTAATCACAGTGGTCTTTCCACTTAGAGTGCTTTATGGGCAAAGTGGATGTAGTTCATCTTTTGATGAGACATTGTTAGGCTTTGAGAAACATCTCACATTATTCACTTATTCAAAGCAGTGTGTGTATGTATGGGGATCCTGAAACTTTTGCCGAAGGCTATTCAGGAGGCCAGACATGAGCTCACATACTGCACCATAAACAACTCCATAAAGT